GCGCCAGTCCTTGTCCGCGCCCCCCCTCCCCCGGGCCCTGCCCCTCCCAGGTCCTCCCGTGAGAACCGGCTGGAGCTTGACGTCACTCGGCCCCGTGACTTTATGTCCCTCCTGGCCAGGTGGCCTGAACCTGAAACAGCTTTATTCTGGCCCATCCCTGGGACCCTGGAGTTGGAGGAGAGCACGGGATCCCCTTTACTCCACCAGGAGCCACGAAGCACCTACTGTGTGTCAACGCAGCAGTTAGGCACCAAGGCCTATTGTGTGTTCATTTAAAAAATAATCAAGTTCCTACCATGTGCCACGCACTGTCCCAAATACAGAACTGATTTTTGCCTTGATAGGATCCCAGAGTTCGGCGCTGCCTCCTGTCCCCTAGAAGATGCAACCCACAGCCTACCTGCCCTTGCCCATGGCTGCCCCGCCCTGGCTGCCAGGCCCAAGTTGTACCCTGCCTTCCAACTTGGGGCCCATCCTCTCTCTGGTTCTTGAGTTTCCCCCCCTTTTCCTCATTCAGCCTGCACTAGTTGTGAACATGCATAAGTAACCTGCTTGCTTATATGTTTATTTACCAAATACACTGAACATCTGGTAGGTGCCAGACACTGTTCTAAAGGATAGAGACAAAACAGGCAAAACTCCCGGCCCCGTGCGGCTGATGTTCTACCTGATGTGTGCAGAATATCCAGAATATTGCAAGAAGAAACTGGAAAATGTCCTGGGGGAGGAGGCGGTTCCACTCTGAATCCTCTGTACCTTTTGGCTGTTGTAACGTGCACATTATTGTAACATGTTTAAATATTCCAACAATAAATTAAATTAAAAATTAAGCCTGCTTGCCCAGCTGGTGTGGTTCAGTTGGTTGAGCATTATCCTATGCACCAAGAAGTTGCTGGTTAGATTCCCTGGCAGGGCACAGGCCCTGGGTTTCAGGCTTGATCCCCAGTAGAGGGCGTGCAGGAGGCAGCCAATTGTTTCTCGCTCATGTATGTTTCTCTCTGTCCCTTCTCCCTCTCCTTTCTCCCTCTCCCTTCCTCTCTCTAAAAAATACATTAAAAAACATATTTTTTAAAAAAATTAAGACTGTTTGATACCCAGACAGTGCAATAAAAAGAAGGGAGAAGGTAGGTGCTTCAAAAAACAACAATATTATGAAAAAGGGTATCTCCACTCCCACGTGTATTGCAGCATTATTCACAATAGCCAAGACATGGAAACAACCTAAGTGTCCCTCAGTGGATGGCTGGATAGAGAAAATGTGAGCCCTGGCCGGTTTGGCTCAGTGGGTAGAACATTGGCCTGCAGACCAAAGGGTCCCAGGTTTGATTCAGTCAAGGGCATGTACCTTGGTTGCAGGCTACTCCCCGGCCCAGGCCCTGGTCGGGGCCCGTGCAGGAGGCAACCCATCGATGTGTTTCTCTTACATCAATGTTTCTCTCAGTCTTTCCTTCTCTCTTCCACTCTCCCTAAAAACCAATGGAAAAATATCCTCAGGTGAGGATTAACAACAAAAAAAAAAAAGAGAGGAAAAAGTGATATATATTTTTCATATATATAATGTCCCATTTATAATTTCATATATATAATGGAATATTATCTAGCCTTAAAAGTAGGGAGTCCTGTCATTTGCAACAACATGAGTGGACCTTGAGGGCATTATGCCAAGTGAAAAAAGTCACAGGGAAAGACAGATAGTGCATGGTGTCACTTGTATATGGGATCTGAAAAAAGAAAGTCAAACTCACAGAAACGGAGAGTAGGAAAGTGGCTGCCAGGGGCTGGGGTGAGGGAAATGGGGAGAGGCTGGTAAAAGGCTACAGACTTTCAGCAATAAGATGAAATAAGGTCTGAGAATCGAATGTGAAACATGGTGACTATTGTTGATAATATTGTATGATATTGAAATGTGCTGAGAGTAGAACTTAAATGTTCACACACACACACACGGCATGAGTCTACTCATAGGAGCTGAGTAGGGCTGTTGAGGACAGGACACTGTGGACAGCACTCATTCACAGGGTCTCCAGGAGTTGGAACTGACTCAATGGCACATCACACACACACACACACACACACACACACACACACACAACACCTCACAAAAAAACAGATAAATAAGTGAGGTGATGGATGTATTAATGAAATCAATGGGAGAGCTCTTTCAGAATGTATATGTATATCAAATCACTATGATGTGTGCTTTAAATACCTTATAATTTTTTTATGTCAATAAAGCTGAAGTTAATGAAACAAAAAAAAACTAAACTGCTTGATACCTTCATAAAGGGTATTGAAAAGCAAAATGATGAAAAAGGAAATTAAAATGGACCCATTAAGCCCTAACCAGTTTGGCTCAGTGGATAGAGCATCAGCCTGGAGACTAAAGGGTCCCAGGATCGATTTCTGTCAAGGGCACATGCCTGGGTTGCCGGCTCGATCCCCAGTAGGGGGCGTGCAGGAGGCAGCCCATCAATGATTCTCTCTCATCATTGATGCAATATAAAAAAATATATATTTAAAAAATGGACCCATTAATGCCTATTACAAAATTAAAATGGAGTAGTCTTGTTTGTACTGAGTGAAATTGTCTTCAACGTGTTAATTTTAAAAAAGCACAATGTAGAACAGTTTGCATTGTTTGCCTGAACTTCTGGGTGTATTTATAAGGGCTGCATAAATACACACACATTTGCCTCTCTGGGAGAGGGCACAAGACACCTGTCACAGCGGTTAACCTCGGAGGGGAACTGAGCAGGCGGCAGGAGGATAGGTGAGAGGGTGTCAAACTTTTCATCCTGTGCCCTGTAATACTGTTTGAAATTTTTAGTTCACATTACCAACTCAAAAAATTTACAAAGACATAAAAATTAAATAAAAGGTAACAAATCACCAGACATTTAGGTGTAAAATTCATTCCTGTAATAATAATAATCATCAATATAAATATACAAAGCACTGTTAATAAAGCTATTGATATTATTATTCAACTTATCAATACTAACAAATTTATATTAAGAATAAACGTGTTGCCCGGCTGGCATGGCTCAGTGGTTGAGCATTGACCAATGAAGCAGAAGGTCACGGTTCAATTCCCAGTCAGGGCACATGCCCAGGTTGCAGGCTTGATCCCTAGTGTGGGGGCGTGCAGGAGGCAACTGATCAATTATTCTCTTTCATCATTGATGTTTCTATCTCTCTCTCCCTCTCCTTTCCTCTCTGAAATCAATAAAAACAGCTTTTTTTTTTACACTATAAGTGCAAGTTCTTTTTTAAAAACATCTTTATTGTTGTAACTATTACATATGTCCCCCATTTCCGCCCCCCATTGACCCTTCTAGCCTGCCCCCACCCCAGGCTTTCACCCCCTATTGTCTGTGTCCATGGGTTATACATATATGCATACAAGTTCTTGGTTGGCCCTAACCGGTTTGGCTCAGTGGATAGAGCGTTGGCTTGAGGACTGAAAAGTCCCAGGTTCGATTCCGGTCAAGGGCATGTACCTGGGTTGCGGGCACATCCCCAGTAACAATAAAATGGCAATAACTACATACCTATAAATCATTTTAAAGGTAAACAGATTATATGTTCCAATCAAAAGACAAGTGGATAAAGAAGAAGCCATACATATATAACAATAGAATATTAACCAAACATAAAAAATTAATATGTTGCCCTGGCCCCATTTTCTCAGTGGTTAGAGCACCAGCCCAAGAAACAAAGGGTCTTGGGTTTGATTACTGGTCAAGGGCATGTATGTACCTGGGTTGCAGGTTCAATCACCTGATGTTCAGGGCAAGTACAAGAGGCAACACATCCCCGATTTGATGTTTCTCTCTCTCTCCTTTCCCCTCTCTCTAAAATCAATAAACTTATCCTCAGGTGAGGATATTTTTTAAAAGTATTTAAAAAATAAATATGTTTACATGATTAACAAAGAAATGCATAAAGATTATATTAATGCTACATATATGTGTGCAGCATATCCTATATAATCCTATATAATAAAATGCTAATATGCAAATCGACCAAACTGCGGGACAACTGGTCGCTATGACGCACACTGACCACCAGGGGGAAGACGCTCAATGCAGGAGCTGCCCCCTGGTGGTCAGTGTGCTCCCACAGGGGGAGCGCTGCTCAGCCAGAAGCGGGGAGTGGGCCTAAGCCATCAGTCAGGCATCCCCTGAGGGGTCCCAGATTGGAGAGTGTGCAGACTGGGCTAAGGGACACCCCCCCACCCCACCCCCAGTGCACGAATTTTGTGTCCGGACCTCTAGTATATTCATATAATGCTCTGTGCTGGTTCTGGTGATGCCTTCTGGGTCTCTGCCACCCAGACCTGACAGTCTGATGGAGGAGACAGTGAAGAAGCCAGACAGTTCTCACAGCGGAACAGGGCTTCGATGCGGAGATAAGGAAAGAGACCGTGACTTTGCTCCTTTTCCTGAACCAGATTTCAGCGTCCACTCATTTCAGGGCCAGATCTTGGGGTCCACTGACACCTCAGCAAAACCCCACTGAGTCCTCTGCCAAGTGAAATGTGTTGCCTGAGCAACTGCTCGAAGCCAGGTGTTCAACACACAGGGGACAAGGCAGAGAGCAAACTGGGTCTCTTCTCGACGGGGAGCTATCAGAGCGGAAATCTCAGCTCTTTGTGGGAACCTGAAGGCTGGGGAGGAAGTGACCCCCCCCCACACACACACACACACTTGCCTGGGCTGGCTCAGCAGTTTGCCATCCCCCCAGGGACCTGGGGGTGGGGATGATGTCAAGGCCACAGACATATCTGGCGTCTGTTAAAGAGACCATGGCTACTAGACAAAGGTGATATCCTCAGAGACACAGAGATACACCCATAAGCAACTTCCGTCCCCTCTTCTCAGCCCTCCCACCGCCCACTTCTGGGGCAACACAAGGTCTCCGCTGGGTCAGCCGAGGGAACGGGCTGGAGAACTGGACAACACGGGAGGACTGGATTTCCTGAGATCGGCCGGGGTGGGGGAGATGGGGTCACAGGGGAAGCTGCTCTAAGGGGGCTCCTGAGAGAGAACAGCGGACGGAGGAGGAAATGACCCTCCTCTTGGGGAGCCACCAGGAAGGGAAGCTAGAGGTGAAGAGCCTCGGAGCAGCCTCCGCTGATGATAGGGCCGCCGACAATGGCTAATGCTCACGAGGCACAGGCTATTCTGAGTGCAGCGCTGAGCCCTCCCAATCCTAGGAGGTGGGGAATATCATCATCCTATTGTTTAAAATCGGCTTTATTTTTAGGACAGTTTTAGGTTCACAGCAAAACCGAGCGGAAAGCGCAGCGATTTCTCATATACCCCCGCCCCCTGCCCTCAGGCATGCAAAGCCTCCCCCTCCATCAACATGGCACCACAGAGGTGCTTTGGTTATCATTGATGAGCCTACGCGGATACACCATGAGCACCCCAAATTCAGAATGCACCCTGCGGTTTGCTCTTGGTGTTGCACCTCCTGTGGGTTTGATGAAACCTATAGTGACTTGTACGCATACAGAATGGTTTCCCTCCCCTAAAGAGTCTCTGTGCTTTGCCTGTTCATCCCTCCCTACCCCTGATAACCCCTCATCTTTTGTTTTTGTTTAAGAATAGTTTCTTGATTTTTAGAGAAAGAGAAAGGGAGAGGGAGAGAGAAAGAGAAGCATCAATGTGAGAGGGGAACATCCATAGGCTGCCTTCTACATGCCGCCTCCCGGGATTGAGCCCCAAACCCCGGCATGTGATCTGACCAGGAATAGAACCAGCGACCTTTTGGTGCACTGGATGATGCCCAATCCACTGAGCCGCACTGGCTGGGGCACCCCTGATTGTTTTAA